GGGGTCTTTGGGGCTGTTCTCTGGGAAGCAAAGTCTAGGAGCTTCCATGCCATCTCTACCCCATCCACAGTCCCCCTGGCTCCACGACCACTTTTGCCACTCTCAGAAGGCGGTTCCTGGGCCTCCCCCACCCCACGGGAAGTCTGAGTAGGCACATTTCAGAGCTCAGCCTGGGCTGGCAGCTGACACCTGCAGCCCCCTTGGAGAAACTGTCAGCCACAGAGTGGAGCAGATAGAACCGACCCAACCCCAAACCCATTCTCTTCAAAGGAAGAACTCCATCTTGGGGTGGGCCTGTGCGGGGGACCCTTAGCTCCTTGCTCTCCTCCTTTGAAGAAAAGATAGCAGCAGGGGGCTCAGGCCTGAACCCTAACATCTCTACGTGATGGGGGAGGTGGGCAGGGAAATTTCTGGACCTGCAGAGGCTCCTCCTCTGGAACTGAGATCAGGTCAGGGGTAGGGGAGTCACTGGCAAACCCGACTCCAGGGCTGGATATGTGCAGTATGGCTTCCTGCCTCACACACTTGACTTGCCAAGGCCCTGGACCTCACTTGGCTTCTAGAACTTCTAGAGAGTGGACAAGAGAAGAGGGCTGGGGATGGAGATGCTCAGAGATGCCCCTTCCCCTCTCTTGGCCTATCTCTCTTTCGGGCACTGCCCCTTACTCTGATGGCCAGGCAGCAAATGGCCCCCAGTGACTCCTGTCTCCCCCAGTTCACACCCTTGGATTGTACCCTCCTGCTTGAACCAGGGTGGTCTGTGTGACTAATAGAATGGGGCAGAAATGATGATATGTTGCTTTCAAGATCAAATCTAATCTTGAAATAAAGATGTGGTAGCTTTTGTCTTGTCCACGCTGTCCGTGTGGGGAAGCCAGTGGCTGTGTGGTGGTGTGAGAGGCCCCATAAAGATGCCCACGCAGGGAGGAGCTCAGGCCTCTGGCTGACGGTCACCGGAGTGAGGCAGACCCTCCAGCCCCAGCCCAGCCTTCAGATGGCTGCAGGCCTGGCCCACGCCTCAGCAGCAATCTCATGAGCAGCCCTGTGCCAGAACTACTCAGCAAGATTGCTCCTGGTATTCCTCATTGTATGAGACAATGTTTATTATGATGATTATTATCCTTTTTAGAGACAGGGTCTCACTCTTTCACTCAGGCTGGAGTGCAATGGCACAATCATGGCTCACTACAGCCTGGAAATTCTGGGCTCCAGTGACTCTCCTCCCTCAGCCTCCTGAATAACTAGGACCACAGGTGCACACCACCATGCCCAGCTCATTTTTAAATTCAAAACGTAAAAAAAAATTGTAGGCCAGGCACAGTGGCTTGGGCCTGTAGTTCCAGCACGTTGGGAGGCCAAGGCGGACAGATCACCTGAGGTCAGGAGTTCAAGACCAGCCTGGCCAACACGGTGAAACCCCAACTATACTAAAAATACAAAATTAGCCAGACATGGTGGCACACGCCTGTAGTTGGGAGGCTGAGAAAGGAGAATCGCATGAACCTGTGAGGCGGAGGTTTCGGTGAGCCGAGATCGAGCCACTGCACTCCAGCCTGGGCAACAAAAGCAAAACTCTGTCTCCAAAATAATTAATTAATTAATTAAAATAAAAGAATGTGAAGGTTAGCTGGGTGTGGTGGCAGGCGTCTTTATGGGGCCTCTCACAACACAACTCAGGAACTGCTTGCCCCAGAGGGACAGCGTGGACACAACGAAAGCTACCACATCTTTATTTCAAGATTAGATCTGATCTTGAAAGCAACATATCATCATTTCTGCCCTATTCTGTTAGTCACATAGACCACCCTGGTTCAAGCAGGGGGCGCAATGCAAGGGTGTGAACTGGGGGAGACAGGAGTCACTGGAGACCACTCAGGAGGCTGAGGCAGGAGAATCTCTTGAACCTGGGGGGTGGCTGTTGCAATGAGCCGAGATCAAGCCACTGCACTCTAGCCTGGGCGACAGAGTAAGACTCAGTCTCAAAAAATAATAATAATTGTACAATGTGATCTCACTAAGTTACCCAGGCTGGTCCCAAACTCCTGGCCTCTAAAAATCCTTCTGCCTCCGTCTCCCAAAGTGTTGGGATTACGGACCTGAGCCACCACACCCAGCTTATTATTTTAAATCACTAAGTTTTGGGGTGATTTGTTTGTTATACACCAATAGATAAGTCACCCACTTCCCTCCCTTCTTAATAAGGAGCTGAGATGATTCTCACCCACCCACCCACTGAAGCTCCCTAAGCTCCTGCCTCCTGTTGCTCCTTCCCCTCCAGGACCCCAGCCTGGAACACTGGTTTACAGATCAACTTGGAGATGCCAGACTAATTAATCAAGCTCCTTAGGGGCCCTTGGAGGACAGGAAAAGGGCTGGAGGTTATCCTGCCAGACTGAGAGTGGGGGGCTGTAGGAAAAGGAGTGGGAGCAGGAATGTCACCCTTAGGAGCGACCCCACAGAGAAGCACTCACGGAATGCAGCCCACAAGCGTCTTCCTTCGCCCTTTGCTTTTCTCTAAGGGGTAAAGGAAAAAGGACACCCTTCATTCTAATTCTGTCCCCTCCCTGTCCCCTTTATGAAAGAGCATGGGGAAGTCCCCACATAGGCCTCAGTGAATCTCTGATGACTACTCTCATAAGCCCAAAGGGCATAGAATGTTAGCTAGTAGAAAGGAAAAATGCCACCCACAGAACTTTCCAGGAAACCCCTGCCCTATTAAAATATCAGGGCTCCCACTAAGGCTGTGGGGAGCAGCGTCCTGGGACAGAGCTTAGGAGTCTCCGAACAGCAGTGAAGAGTGGGAACGATGCTTTGGAGGCTTCTTACTTTTTGTTTTTGAGACAGGGTCTCCCTCTCTCACCCAGGCTGGAGTGTAGTGGCACAATTATGGCTCACTGCAACCTCAACCTTCTGGACTTAAGTGATCCTCCCACCTCAGCCTCCCAAATAGCCGGGATCACGGGGACGGGAGTGCCAGTATGCCCAACTAACTTTTTTTTTTTTTTTTTTTTAGAGATGAGGTTTCACTACGCTGCCCGGGTTCGTCTTGAACTCCTGGGCTCAAGAGATCCTTCTGTCTTGGCCTCCCAAAGTGCTGGGATTACAGGCATGAGCCATGACACCTGGCCTGGAGGCTTCTAAAGGGACTTCACGACTTCCTCTTGCAGTGTGATCATTTCTGGCGGGGCCAGAGCTTCCTCCTTCCTGTGCCATTGTTTCTCTGCCAGTGACAAGGCAAGAGTCACCACCATCCTGAGGCTCAGAACCTGATTGCCGTAAATAGTTCATTGTTCAGGCTTCAGAGGGTGCCACCTCTCCCTAAGGCTCTGCACAAAACAAAGATGTCACCCTCTCCATCCTCTGTCTCCAATGAGTGACTATGGTGTCTCTGCAGGGACATGTCCTCAGGTCTGCCTTTTTGTGTCTTTTTGCACCCGGCACACAGACCCACTGGGACACCACCCACACATGCCACCATGCCCCCCCTGCTCCAGCAGCCTCGCTCCCACTCACCCACTCACTTTCAATATTTTGTTCTCCTGGATGGGGTTAAAGTCCCCTGACAGAGCTGTCAGTGGCCAAAGTCCGGGGCCACACACCCACTGGAGGCCGAGGTCTCTGTCTCATGCCAGACTCGAGGGTGCCATGTGCTGAGGCCGTGTGTACTCTGCTGAGAGGACCATTGACATGGCCCAGGTGAATGTTCCAAGAGAGGCAGACAGAGAGGGGCGCAGGCAGACTTGGAGTCTTCGACATCATTCTTAGCATGACCAGAGCAAGTCTGCTTTCTCCTTCACTAATGGGTAATCAGGCCAGCACGCCACACATGCAGAGCACGTCACAGCTTCCAAAACCCTTTATTATCCAGCATTCACAGCAACCCTTTTGGTGGGTTATGATCACTGTCCCATTTAATAGGCGAGGAAACTGAGGCTCAAGGAGATTGAGCACAGTCACATCAGCAAAACTGGAATGAGAAGCCGGGGATCCTGACTCCCGCCGCTGCAGCCGCCTTGCTGGCTATTTGGCTTCACGAATAGGCCTTTGTTCACCGCCTTCCCCTTTGTCAGGCATAGATTACACCCTGGCCAGGGCCAGCCAGGGCTGTGTCTCCTGAGACATGCATTGTGCAGTTCCTCTCCTGAAGGATGCATAGGACATGTGACGGTCACTGGCGCACACTCATATGCTGCACATAGAGCGTGCACACTACAAAGGCAGTGCCTGCAGACGCAGCAATCTGTGCCCGCCTGGTCCACTGCACTGTTGGACTCCTCAGGCCTGCCGCAGCCGGCCCAGTGACCTCCGTTGGGTGTGACAAGCAGTAACCACTGGGTGGCAGTGTGTTCTCATGCCTGGGACCAGAAAAGCTGCCAAGGGCTGAGGAACGCGGAGGGTGGGGCAGAGGTAGGAGCCCCAGCCGGCTGCCCAGGGAGGTTTCCAGACCGGATCTCCTGGAAGACTTGACAAGGCAGTCCTCTGCGCGCGCGCGCGCGTGAGTGTGTGTGTGTGTGTGTGCGCGCGCGCGTGCGCGTGTGTGTGTGCATGTGTGTGTGCACGTGCGCGCCAGCATATGTGCGCATCTGCAGCAGCCGGAGGGCCAAGGACGAGTGCTGAAGTGCAGCTGAGTGCGGGGTGGGGTGGACCCAAAGGACAAAAATATCAAGGAAACCAGGGCAGCCAGCGCACAGTGGGTGGAAGGTGGGTGGAAGGACGGCGGAGAGGGCTGCGGAGGCAAGGGGCAAGGACTTTTTGGAGGGAGCTTCAGGAAAATGATTACCCTGTGTTGGGGGGGGGGAGTAGAGAAAGAGAGAGAGAGAGAGAGGGAGAGAGAGCGCAAGAGAGAGAGACCAAGAAAGCAGCCAGAAACAGAAAAGGGGAAGGTGAGGGAGACTGGCTTGGGAAAGTAGGTTAGGAGGCTAGGGTGGGAGAAGGGAGCCCCCAGAGGCTGGGGAGAGACGGGAACCTTCACTTGGACAAGAAAGGGCCAGACTTAGGCGTGCTGCTAACAGGGAGTTTATTTGGACTGAGCTGCTGAGATCCGCTGGCTGCCTCAGCTCCAGGTCAGAGCTGCTCGGGCTCGGGCTCGGGCTCGGGCTCGGGCTCGGGCTCCGGCTCCGGCTCCGGCTCCGGCTCCGGCTCCGGCTCCGGCTCGGGTTCTTGCTCCAGCTCCTCTATCTTGCTCTGAGCCTGCGGTGGGTGAATCCCATGCTCTAAGGCAGAAAATCTTCTAGGTCGCAACTGTGAGAAGTCACAGAGAGAGAGATGGAGGGTGGAAGGAGAAGGATGAAGGGAAAAGGATTAGGAAGGACACCGAATACATCTATTTTTTCTCAGCCCCCCTGCTCTCCCCATCTCTCAACCCCCCTTAAAGCCTCCCCAGGCACAAACCGTCCCTGGAGTGAGAGGCTTATGAAGAAGGGGGGCCCTGAGGGCACGTTCAGGGTCCCCTTTGGTTGCCTTCCTGAGGAAGGTGTGCCATCAGCACTCAGGATGGAAGAGCAGGAGCTGCTGGGGTGGGGGGTGGCACGTCCCCGGCTCACCTGTCTTCTCCAATGGTGAAAGCCAAAGGCTCCAGTCACCAAAAGGAGCAGAGAGAGGATACCAAGGATGAGAAGCAGCGGAAGGTGGCCTGCGTGGAGGGCGCCTGGGGCTCTCCCGGAGCGTTGGGCACCTATGGAGAAAGTACAGGTTAAGGCATAGGTTCAGGGCTGGAAAGGATATTTTGTCACTCACTCAGACTTTACAGATGCAATGAGATCCAGAGAGTTTAAGTGACTTGTCCCAGGGTCATTTAGCTAATTAGTGGCAGAAACCGGTCAACCCTGGGCAAGAGCCAGAGGTCAGGTCTCCGACAGGAAAGAAGGGGCTCTTCTGGAAGGGGATAAAGGTCATTGCTGTGGCGTTGGGGTCCTGGCATTTTGGGGCCTCAGACCTGGGCTAGACAGCTCTGTGAAGTATACTGCTACTCCAAGAAGCCTCTCCCCTTGGTAAAGCTGGCATTGCCAGAGCTGGGAAAGGAGCTGGGCGTCCTGTGCCTCCAGCCAGGGTCCTGGGAAACTCCTCTGGGATGGTGCGTCCAGGGGGCTCCACACAAAACGTTCTTGTCCAGATGCTGGAGTCACCTCACAAAGCAGCTTCCCCAGGGAGCCAGGTGACCCAAAGGATTTGGGAGTCACTGAAAAGAGAAGGAAGAGATCTTTTGGGGTTCTGGCCCCCTTATGTCATACCACAGGTTCAACCCCAAGTCTCAATCGCCCTGCGTTCACTTGGGTTCTGACCAGGTGAGGTTGGCAGATGGCATCAGGGGTCATGGCCACATTCATCTTTTTCTTTCTATTTAATTTTTTGTTAAATTGTATAGAGATGGGGTTTCACCATGTTGCCCAGGCTAGTCTAGAACTCCTGGACTCAAGTGGTCCTCCTGCCTCAGCCTCTCAAAGTGCTGGGATTACAGGCGTGAGCCACCATGCCCCGCCGGCCACATTTATCTTAACCAGACAATGCTCTGCTCTAGTCAGCTCCCTCCCCTGCTCAAAACATTTCCAGGCTCCCTACTGCCTTTACACTCAAACTGGTCCTGGCAGATCAACACAGAAGAAGTACTATTACACGTTCTTTTACATTGCTTTCTACTCAAATGCTCAGAACCCTCAGAATCAGTCAGAGGAGTTGACCCCCCATCTACTTCACAATTTTGCAACTTCCATGACATGGCTCCCATCAGTGTCTCCTGCCTTGTGGTGCCCCCTGAATGAACACCATCCCCCTTCCTGAATGTGTAAAGAACAGGGAACTGACCCATTCATCTTTACATTCTCAAGTTGTAAAGTGAGGGGGGGGGTGGGAGGAGACAAAGGGTGGAGGGCATCTGAGTAGCGTCCTGGGGAATAATTTGGTGATGCAGACACCTGAGTTTGAACCCTGAGTCTGGCGCTTCCCAGCTGTGTGACTTTGAGAAAGTCTTCAGGGGTAACAGTATCTCTCTCATGGAGCTGTCTACATAGAACAGTTGACCTTCAAGAAGATATTGGACAGAAAGAACTGGTGGACTTTGGTGACTGATGGGATGAGAGGAGGAGTAGGCCAGGTTTCGAAGTGGGTGGATACCAGGGGATTAATGACAGGCTGAGTCAGCAAGGGGATTGGTGGGAGAAAAGGATGGGGCTCCGGGTGAGGCAGCTGAGAAGCGGTATAGTATCTAGGTAGAGGTGTCCGGAAAGCAAGCGAAAACTCAGAACTGGCCTTCAGAAGATGTGTTATCTATTAGCATGTTCACATATTCATTCAACCTCTACATATTATTAAGCACCTACTGTGGGGTGCTACTACTTAGTGGCCGAAGGTGGGTGCTGCAGATGAGGCTAACCTGTCATGGCTGATAGTTATCAACCAGTGAATACATTCTGAGTATTCTTTTTTCTTTATTTGTTTTGTACTGTCTTGGAAAACCCTTGCTCAGTAAATATTTCCTGACCAAGGGACGGATTTATTAACTCCTCCCAAATCCAAGCCACTTCCTTCAACTTTAACCCAAGCCCTGGCCGCAAAGTAGCCAAGGATTCTAGAAATATATTCTACCTCTTTTGAATCATTCGAAATTTTTTTTGTCACCTTTCCTTCTAACTTCCCAGACCCTCCCGCCAATTCAGAGCAGGGGAGTCCCGTAGAGAATGGTGGAACTTTATCTTGTGACTCAAGAGGAGATTTTCAGTTTCGGTTCTTTTATTATGGGGGTGAGAAAAGTGGGGGCCAAGATGGGCAGGCTCTGGAACTTGTGCCCAGTGGCCTGGCTTCATGGCGTGGATTTGCCCAGTCTTTCCCCAGCCAGCCCTTCCTCTCTCTCCTTTCTCCCCCGGGAGGGGAGCTCCTCCTTTCCCACCTGAGGCTGACCTGTGATGACTGCGAGTGTGACAGTGGCACTGAGCTGCTCTCCCTGCAGACAGATGTGGCAGGTGTAGGTCCCAGCCTGGGCCTGGCTCACATCCTCTAGTTGAAGGGTAAAGTTGCCATTGTCTCCAGCCACCAGGAGGTCAGGGCCTCCTCCAGGAGGAGCCCACTTGGCAGTGAGGAAAGACTGGGTCCCCACACCAGGAGGCAGGCGGCAGGGCAGCTCCACCCTGGAACCTGCTCCAGCATACACTATCAAGGGAGTTGGGGGCTCCAGACCTGAAGAGAAAAGAAAACCCGAAGTTAAAGCTGGGGCTGCAAGGAGGGGAGTGCTGGGGCTGCAAGGGAGGGAGTGCTGGGGCTGCAATGGGGAGGGAGTGCTGGGGCTGCAA